AATTTGACTCGGAATCGGATTCTCCAATCAATCAATCAATCAATCAAAATATACTTTATTGTCGGAAAATAAATTTCATTGACAAAGCATGATCTTAAATAATGTGCAAGTAATTAAAAATTATCGGGTTATAAAAAAAAAAGAGGTACAATCAATAAAATAAAAAATAAACATAAACATAAATGTCAAAGCATAATCCTAAGCAACACATGTACAATTTTTACTACATCAAACTATAGAGTCATATAGAAGGTACAGCCAATACAGAAAAAACATAAAGGTTGCGGTCAGAACAAAACAAAACAATGAAACAAACAAAATTAAAATTTTTCATTTAAAAATTCATTAATATGATAGTAGGCTTTTCCATGTAAAAATGTTTTGAGCTCTAGTCTAAACTTTTTAAAACCACCTATCTGCCTTAAGTTAACAGGCAGATGATTAAAAATTTGCCTACTTTTATAAATTAGTGAATTTTGCGTCAATGCAGTCTTGGGTATAGGAAGCTGAATTTTAAGAAGTTGCCTAGTTCGATAAGTTCTTGGATATTCTAACTCATCATAATGTTTTTTGTGCATAAGGCAAGCAGTTTCCATGATAAATATACAGCATACTGTAAGTATTTTATGTTTTAAAAATAGTGGCTTGCAATGTTCCCAATATCCAACCCCACACAAATAGCGCACTGCTCTCTTTTGAATGACAAAAACAGAATCAAACAATTTATTAGAACAGTTACCCCAAAATGCAATGCCATACCTGATATGAGATTCAACCAACGAGAAACAAACCAACTTAGCAGTATTCAAACCAAGTTCATTTGACGCTATTCTTACAGCATAGCAACCACTTGCCAATCGTTTGTTTAGATTTGTAACGTGCTCATTAAACTTAAGTTGAGTATCAACATGAACACCAAGAAATTTACAGCTAGTTTTATTTTCAATTGTGTGTGTGTCTAATAATAAATCATCAAAAAAAAATTTAAATGTCAATATGTTGGTTTTCTTAGAGTTAAAACAAAGCAAGTTAGAGTCACACCAGCTCTTTACAAGATTTAGGTCTTCAGAAATAATCTTTTTCAACTCTTCAATATTTTTTCCGTTCCAGGACAGAGTAATGTCATCAGCGAATGATGTTATTTTAGCTCTAATGGGGAGGTGATTAATATCATTTAAATAAAGTAAAAACAATATTGGTCCCAACACAGATCCTTGTGGAACACCATTGGTCACAGCCAAGTTTGATGACTGAGTATCACCAATCTTAACAAATTGTTCTCTTCCCGAGAAATAAGATTCAAACCATGAGTATGAGATTCCTCCGAAGCCATAAATTTCTAGTTTTTTAAGCATTATTTTATGATTTACGCAATCAAAGGCTTTAGAGAAATCACAAAACACAACGGCGACAAGCTCACTTTCATTAAGACTGACGAATACCTGTTCCAAAAGATTAAACATTGCATCATGGGTGCCCTTTAATGGTTGGAATCCAAATTGAGTGTCACTTATTATGTTGTGTTTTGAAAAATATTTTAACATTCTTTCTTTAACTAACTTTTCAACTATTTTTGACAACGTCGAGAGAAGTGATATTGGTCGATAATTACATGGGTTGTCCAATTCGCCACCCTTATAAAGAGGCAACACAATAGCTTTTTTCAGGCAGCCTGGAAATACTCCTGTTAAAAATGAAATATGAATACATTCAGACAAGACATATAATGCATTATCAGGCAAGTTTCTAAGCAAATTTATTGAAACATTATCGTGCCCACTGGATTTAGTGTTTTTTATTCCTCTAAAGATTTCATTAAGTTCTAATACGTTTGTAGTTTCCAGTACAAATGTGTCATTTATTTTAACATCCAATAAATAAGAACCAGGATCCACATTACTTTTCAAGTTTTGTTGTAAAGTATCAGCAACACTACAGTAGAAGTTGTTGAGAATATTGGGATCTAATTTACCATCTGCTTGAAGAACTGAGTTTTTACCAGTTAACTGATTAATTATTTTCCAGTTTTCTTTGCTGGCATTTTTGGAGGAGTTTATTCTATTCTGATAAAACTTTTCCTTAGCTGCTTTTAAAACACTTTTGTAAATTTTTCTATATCTGCAGAAATAACTTATGAACTGAGGACAATCAGTAAATTTGCGAATATTTTGTAACGAACGCATGTTTTTTGATGAAACTTTAATAGCGGGAGTAATCCAAAGTTTACTTTTCTTTTGCTTAATTTTTTGTAATGGAAAAGATTTTAAAAATGCATCAGTTACTAATTTTTGGTATTCGTTTAGTGGTGATTGACAATTCAAAACTGCTGGCCAATTTAATTCCTTGCAAATATCTTTAAATTTTTTATAATTGTTGCTGCTAAGTAGTCTACCAACTTTATATTTTGGTGGTTTATTTATCGCAAGTTGAAATTTTGCTAAAACTGCCTCGTGATCCGAAATGCCTACAGGAATTACACTACAGCTAACAAACATTTGCTTTAAGACAAAATTTGAACACAGATAATCGATTTTGGTTTGAGAATGAACAGTTATTCTAGTAGGTTCGTTAACATACATCTCTAGGTCAAATGATAAAAACAAGTAAGACAGAATTTGCTGTGCCTCTGATCTGTCATCATCAAAATTTATATTAAGGTCTCCCCCTAGTATCAAACCTGCCTTGGGTGGCAGTTTTGATAAAAGAATTTCAAGATTTTCAAAGTATTGCTTTAAGTTTGAATAATAGGGGGGCCTGTATATACACAAAATATATAAATTATTTTTTTTGTTATATAACAAGGAGAATTCAAAAACATTTTCAATTAAAAGGGTATTAAACTTTGTTATGGGGGTAATGTCTTATTGACAAGACTAGCAGTTCCACCATGAGTTTTACTATTTCTACAATAGAGAGACACCAGAGTATAATTTTCAATACAAAATGGTTCATTTTCTGCTAGCCAATGCTCAGTTATAAGTAAGAAAGCTGGAAAATTGTTATCTTCCAACAGCAGATATAAATCATCAAGTTTGTTCCTTAGCGATTGTATATTAATTAGAAATACGGAGACGGCGGCGTTATTATTTTTTATGTTTTGTGCCGCGCTTGCGCAGTTTGTGGAAGAGGTTGGTCTAAAAAATTTACCTCTGGAAAATTATTACCCTTTGAAATAGTGTCGTCATTAATACTAAAGATATTATCATCTATTGGGACATATTTAAGATTTGTTATGCTTTTTACATTAAAGTTCTGAACACACTGTTTTATCAATTTTCCAGTCTTAACCAATCCGTACTTATTTAAATAAAAGTTAGAATTCATACAAAGAGAAATAATGAAATGAGGAATATTTTTGAAAGTCTCCCATGTATTTTGTCCAGTCTTCTGAAATAAGTCTGTCACAATGTCTACAAAAATTCGTCCACATGTCTGAGGTACTTTTGAAAGAGACTCACGCCATACCTTCGCAACCCTATCCGTGGATGGTGGCTGCGAAGTTATAGTTTTATTCTAGAAGTTCTTACAAAACCCCCATGCCATTTCAATAGGATCATATTGGCAATGATAAGGAGGTAATCTAAGAACTTCGTGTCCGTGGCTTTTCAAAATGTCGTCAATTTTGTATTGTTTTGGTCTATTCCGAAATGGTTGAGTTAGGTCCCATAGTTGTTTTTTGGTCATTTTTGTGTCGAAGTCTACGTTATGTTTAACCAACCATTCCTGCATTTTGTCTTTCTTTAAAGAGAATGAAGGTGGTTTATTCTTCCGCTCTGAATGATATGGAGCGTTGTCCATGATTATTACACATTTCTCTTCAAATATATTCAATGCAGGAATTAGTTGATCAACGACCCATTTTTGGAAGATGTCCGAGTTCATGGTATTGTGATAGTCTCTGTCATTGTTTCTTGAATCTAGAAAAAAATCGCACCCATCTAAAAACCCAGAACTACTCCCCGCATGCAAAATAGTAAAACGTTTCCACTCTGACTTAATTTTGGATGGGTTGCTTTTCATATCAGATTCGTGTATCCATCGACGAACTTGAGATCCGTTTTGGTAGATCCAAGTTTCATCTAAATACACGAATCTGATATTTTCGTTTGAATGTTTATATTGGAGATATTTCCGCAAAAATGTAATTTTGGCAGCAAGAACATGTTTCTGCTCACATAAAATTTTGCGTCCATTTACTGCTTTAAATTTATATCCCATCGATTTTAAAATTTTATATAAACTTGTTTGCCCTCCCTTAAATTCCAAATTTTCTTTTGCGTATGTCAGTAATGTTTGTAATGTAAAATATTCATTTTTAGAATTGTATTTCCAAATTTGTTGTTGTAAATCTTCTTTAAACATTCGGTCCATAATAGTCTCTGTCTTTTTCGGTCAGCCTAAAGGTTTTTTGATTGTATATTGTCGAGTCAAAATTCTTTGAATAGTCCTGGTTCCCACCTAAAATTTAAGGAAAATGTTGGTTGGGTAAGAAATAGCTTCACATCTACATTTAAGTTATACCTACCTCAAATATATCTGCAAGTTGGGCTTCAATTGTTCCCTGGAGAGCCTCTGGTTTATTTTTTTTTAAATAACCATGACATTTTAATATTTCCTTTTTTTTTTCTTCTGAGATTATTTTCGGCATCTTCAATATGAAAGAAATTTGACAATGCCGAATTTTAAAAAATGTCATTAGATTTTGCAGGTACGCAAAATAGTTAGGTACCGTTTATAATATAGCATTATTGAAAAATGCATTGAAAAATGTGTCAAATTTGATTTGCCAGATAGGCCAGAAAATTTTAACACCGCGGCACTTACGAAATTATGTAAACCACACTTAAAACTGTCTGGAATTTGACATATACTGTCATTATTATACGAGGGTCAACCTGCCAAATTTCCATGGATAATGCTACGCCAATAATAAGTGAAAAGCATATAAGTAATAGGTACCTCGGTAGGTACCTATAATAACTATTCACTAATTCACTTACCCATTTAACAAGGGGCCCTCCCAGGAATTCTTCTATATCTGTCCCTGACGCAGCCATTTCTCCAAAGCATCAAGCATAACAATAAAACTAATAGTTTAATCCAACGGTTTAATCCATCCTAATAAAAGGCTCAGCAGTCAGCAGGATGTATTACCAAAAATCAATGGGTACCTACTTATTTACTTCAACTCGAGAGAATATAAATTTCTAATTTCCAATTCACAGCAGGTCTTCTATTCTTTATTTGTTTATTGTTTTCTTTTTGAATGGAAGGCGAGTTCTCAGGGTACAAAAATAAACTATTTTGTTGATTGGATAACTAAGAATGCTGTCTTGAGACTGCTGCTGCTGAACGTCGACCAAACGGCCAGCTTGAAGATATTCTTGTGAAGGGTTTGATTTGCATAGTAACTAAACTGTAAACTGATTTTTTTTTACATTTAACCTGTGCATAAAAGTTACAACAAAAATAAAATAAATCAGTGCACTGCGACCATCTTGAATTTGTCTTCTTTTTCTCTTTCTTCTTCTTTTTCAAATGTCAAACTTGGCTTCAACCAATTTTTTTGAAAATTAAAAATGTCAGACGTCAGTTCAGTGTGTCACTGTCAAGATCATGAGAGTGAGAGTGTCATGAATGAGAGGGCGAGATAAGATAAAAATATTTGAAATATCGGTGTTGTGCCACGATGTTTTTAGAGATTTTTTCAGATAAATAAATTAAAATATGTGAAAGTTACACGTTTCCCAAACAGAATGAGCAGTGGTCCGTTATACAAAGTGCTCTACGTCCTGGTGCATTCTATATTTACAGTATACGAGTGGATAACGGATGCACTGGAAAGGATAGGCTCGGTATTTGTTGATTTTTGTCACGGGTTTTTCAACATTCAGAGAAGAAATTATTTAAAAAATGAAATTGCCAAGAAAAATAAGATTCCTAAGCACTTAACTGTGCTGTTGGGGCGAGAGGAGCCTTCCTTTCAAGACCTGGCGAATATTGTTTTGTGGTGCTTGGCTAGCCGGATAGTTTTTCTTAGTTTTTATGATCATAGAGGTAAATTTTCTTAAAAACTATATTATTTTATTTCCAGTATACCCCTATACCTACCCTACTAGTTAAATACATGAAAAGTTTTTCAGCCAATTATTTGTCCCTCATTTTGAAAAACAACTTCTTGTTTTTAGCTAGGTAGGTAGTAGTACAAGTACACTTTTGTAAATAATTGAAATTTTATTTATAATAATAAACCAATGTGTCATTAGATCAACCCTCAGTTTCTATGGAACAGATATGGAACAGAAACTACACCTAGATCATTAAATTTGCAAATTTTTTTACTTTGGTATAGTTGATTACAAGATGATGCAATTTCATATTTGGTTGTATTTTGAATTGTGCAATAATTATTAAAATGTTACCCATGTGAATTGAGCTCCTTGTTACCAGCAACAAGCAGCCACCAATAAAAAATTCCAGTCAACAAGTTCATTATTTGTGATGATTATGTATTTTAAAATGCATAATCACAATGTATAGCTATTCTTTCAATCTTTCAAATGATTAAATAGTTTAGCACTTGGTTTAGCATTTCTCCAGGGTAATTCATCATTAATTCGCCAATTTACTACGAACTATAATAGCCAAATAAATTGTGAGAGAAAAGTTTTTTTTTTTCATTCTATAATTTTCCAGAAAATATTCCACTTAAATTTGGATGAATATTAGAGATAGAAAAGACGTCAAATTAGCCTTGATCTACCCCTCTAGCCCAGCTCCTCTGATAAAGGAGATAGAAAAATAATTTGTAAATATAATATTTTTTTTTTCTATTTTATTTCTCTTATCAGAGGGCCTCGAGGAGTAGATCTACCTACACCGAGGAGATCTACACAATTTCCACTTGTAACTTAAACATTATAATTTGTTATCTGGAGTAGTTATTTTATTTTTGGTGAGTATAACTCCTGGCATAACTTTAATTTTGTAATTGAAATTTGGAAACAAAATAACAATTTTGGAAAATGAAAATTATGATGGTTATTTGAATTTAGGAAAGAGAAATTTGAAATTTCGAAAAGTAATTTGATTTTTAGAAAATGTAAAGTTAATTTTGAAAAGTAAACATTTTTATTTTGAAAAACAACATTCATTTAGGAAAACATAATATTAATATAATAATAATAATTTTATTGAAATTCATCGGTTCACAAATTACAGACATACCTAAAACAGTTAGCAAATGTTTAGGAATCACAAATGGCGGACTTGAAGCAGAGCTTCCTATCGCAACCAGACTATAATAGTACAATCATGTGAACGAAATGCAAAGTATTCCTATTGATTGGTATTACTATCAGTTTCAATCATAAATTAATCACAAGTCATTAGACTAGCATGGGTGCTAGTACAAAGAAAAAATATAGGAATACAAAAATATAAAAAATACTATAAAAGGTAAAAAGTATAAAGTATAAGGAAAATGGATAAAGTTAGTTGAACACATTTATACAGGCCAGAGAGACAATGGGGTGATGGTACGAGCTCAGACAAGAACTTTAATATTTTGCTTGACAAATTGCTTAAACTAGTAATCAGTCGAGTAATCGGTAGTTGTTTTGTAATCAGCAGGAATTTAATTGTACATTTTTGATATTTGGTAGCTAAATGATCCCTCATACATGGATGTAGCATGCATGGGAGGAGTTATTGTAAATTTATATCTAAGCTCCAATTTATGGGCATCATACCACACTTGATTTTGATTTTATTATACAGTTAGGACATGTTTTAAAAATCAATTTGTCAATATAACCAAACTATGCGGTGCGCGTCTTTCATTCATTCTTACCCATTCAATTTCGCATAACTTGGCACAACTCTCTCACGGTCCCCAATACCACCTATCAACCTGACACACGGATTCTGCATGAGCTGAATTCTTCTGGCATTGGAAACCAGCAGACAGGGCCAGTACAGAACATTACAGTAGGTAAAGTGTGATAACACAATGGAATCGCACAGAACTTTCTTAGGATTCTCATTAAGTAGGGCTTGTTGGTTAAATATTAGTTTCAATTCAATTCAATTCAATTTATTGATCAATATGCATAAAAATACATTCAAACCATTAAGGTGTGGATAACAAAAAAATATAACTACTTAGGTAATTTACAACACATGTAACAAGCATAAGGTCAATTCATAAAAATAGAAATAAGTATGTAAAAAATAAAAATAAAAATAAATAAAACACAACAAAACAATCAAGAACAATAATAAAAAAGTCAACTAAAACGATAGATAAAACATATTATCAAAAGACGGATAGATATAGATTAAATTTTTTCCAAAAACTCGTCAAATGAATAATTGGCTGAGACTAGTAAGGCTTTCCTTATACTATTCTTAAACCCATTGTAATTCAGTTCCCTAACATTTAGTGGAATAGTATTGAACCAGTTCTTGCCTACATGCAACAAGGTTCTTCTGGTAAGTTCCGATGTAAGTTCATTATGAGAACGGAACGATGCAAATTAAGATTGGCTCCAAATCTAGTTTGGTATTGATGAGTATTTGCCTGAAATTTCCATATAATCTGTGGATATAAGATATAACATAAACAATTAGGTCGTAGATAGTGATAATTTAGTGCTCTTTAAATAATTGTTTGCAGAGTGCACACCTATGAGTCCTACATATTTCAATTTCAATTCAATTTCAATTTATTTCAACAGCAAATTAACAATAATTAATTACAAACTAGATTACAATATTACAAATTACCTACATGCCTACAATAGCAGGAGAGGAAAAAGGCCATAATTATTATCTATTACATCATTATCGTTTAGTTCATTAATTTGTGTAGAAAAAGAAAAGGACACCTAGATACATATGTATCTGTATGTGTCTTATGGGTTTTAAAATTATAGGACACAAGTTATTACTAATTGTCTCAACAATGTTCCCAGAAAAAGGAAGAATTGCCCATACTTAGGTATATTAAAAGCTTAAAGACCTAAACTAATTTACAGAACTAATACTAAATCCAATTATAATTATAATTATAACACTGTCATTGTCAGTGAGAGCATGAGACACCACTATTACCAAAAACTTCTTTGGATACGAATCTAATCGGTAAAAATTGTATTAAAATAATTATAAAGGTTTTCATAGATAAACAATTTGCAGGGTTTACTGAACTTCTTCCTGCCTAGGTTTTTTATAGTGGTAGGTAGTATAATATAAAATTTAGGACCAAGAAAGTTACAGCAGTTTTTAAAGAACTCGCTGTTAGGTTTGGGAACTTTGATGGTCTCATTTAAGATTGCTCTTGTTTGATAGTGGTGATCTATTGTAATTCCATTAATTTCATCATGGTTTCTTATATAACAGCAAACTGTATGTATATATAAACATCTAATGTTTACAATTTTAGGGTTATATAGCAATAAGGATGGGTACCGAGGTTTTTTCTTGAATATTACTTTTAAGATTTTTTTTTGTATGATATTTAAAGGACTTAATGTAGTTTCATATAGCCCACCCCAAACCAATATACCATATCTTATTACAGATTCTACCAAACTGAGATATAATGTCACAAGCAAACTCTGATTAAGAAATTGCCTAATTAAATAGAACTTATAAATTAGGAATCTAAGTTTTTTGGCTAAGTATAGGATATGTGATTCCCATTTTAAATTTTGATCTATGACAATTCCTAAGTATTTTGTGCTATCGGTTCTCTTTATTATTGAGTTAAGACAAATTAATTCATTGAAAATAGGACGATCCGCCTGTGTTTTTGAGAAGGCTATAAAATTTGTTTTATCAATATTCAATGATAGCTTAAAATGGTTAAGCCAATTTTTGACTTGTTCAATTTCAGCCTGTGCAGATGACTTGACCGCATCCCAGCTCTGCCCATTGAACACGATTACTGTATCATCTGCGTATGAGATTATTTTATCAAAACCAGGGGCACTGTTATTTTTTAGGCTAGATATATGTTTGATAATGTCATTTTCTGATACAGGGTTCAAAAACATTGATTTATTTATTGAAGGAATAGAATAATTTATATTATTATCTGGTATGCTATTATGCATATTAATTCCGATAGAGGAAAAATATTTATTAGAATGATTTGCCATGCTCATGTCACTTTCAAATTCATTACCTTCATTGTTAGTTATTTGTATCTTACTATTACATTTACTTGTGGAATTGTTGGTTGCCTCAGCTATAATTTCATAAGTTTTCTTTAGGTTGTTTTTATTCTCATTAATTTTGTCTCTATAATAATCATTTTTTGTTTTTGTTATTAGTCTCTTTAAATTATTTCTGTATGTTTTATAATAATTTTCAAATTCTAGGCAGTGATTTTTTGACAGTTGTTTCTTAAGTTTATCTCTTGTTTTAATTGATATTACTAGTCCGTTTGTAATCCATGGCTTTATTTTTTTTGGCAATCTTTTTGTGTTTTCCCTATGTATCATTTTGCAATCATCAATAATTTTGAGGTATCGTTCATAGAACAATTGTGTGGCTATTTTAGCATTAGGTTCCTCACACACATTAGTCCAGGTTTCAGCATTAAATTTTTCTATCAATCTATCTGTGTTAATTCTAACAACATCTTTGTTACCAGTAGTATTTTTAATCGGTTTTCTGTTTTCAGAAGTGATGTTTATCATAATAGGATTATGATCAGTTAAGTCATAATTAATTACATACGAGTTTAGGTCCAAATTCAGATTTGGCGCCCTCAAGTTATTTCTTATAAATATATGGTCCAGACAAGTTTGACTTATAGGTCTTGTAACAGTACTTACATATGACATAAAACCGCAAGAAAATAATGTTGCCAAGTATTCATTAATAAAATTATTTGAAAAATTCAATATATCAATGTTTATATCACCTATCAAAATTTCTATATTTTTGTCAAGATTGACACTAATGTAGTTACTCAAATCGTTGATAAATTGCTGTATAGATGTTTGAGGAGACCTGTAGATGCCATTGATTCCGAAACTTATATTATT